AAAAGAAAAGAAAGAAAGAAGAGAGAAAAGATATCAACATTACTGTGTGTGAGAACACCAACTGAATTTCTCTCTCACATTATGCTCAAACTCAGCAATTATTTCTTTAATTACATAAGATCTGTATCATCATTGCAAAAACATACCAGTAAAAGTTTCAGTACAGGGGTTTATGCCAGCAAGCCTCTTTGATGTCCCGAAGTCAGAGATCTTGAGAACACCACTGTAGGTATTAATCAACACATTGTCACCCTAGAGAACAGAGGACTTTAATCACAAATGTTATCTTTCTTCAGATACTATCTATTGTTGACTTGGTAAGTCCAAAAAAAAAAAAAAAAAAAAAAGGTATCCTTACAGCAACCAACAACATAATTCTGTATTCTTCATTAATAGTTTATCTCAATAGTGAATTCTTGACACTGTTTTTTGTTTACATATTATCAGTTTGAGACCAACCGCCTTTGCAAAAATTGTAACAGTGAGAAAATTATGACAGTAAAAGAGAACTGATCTAACCACCACCATCTTGCCTTAAATTTCCAAACTGCCCTTGGTCATTCCAGGGTGTAGGCCAAGCTCACTTGGAGAAATTTAATTCATAATTTATAGTTTAGATGATAATAGCCCTTCCCCAAAACTAAACCATCTTTGTAAAACTAATGAAAGGCCACCAGGTTAAGAGGATGAGAGGGGCCTAAAGTCCACTAAGATGTAGGCATAGCCAAATGATTATCAGCCCACTATTCTGGGGGGTCACAAGATTTGCAACTCCTCCAATTTTTCCTATAATTGACATCACTATTATAGAACCAAAGACTGGCCTTTTGAGATGTCTTCACAGGCTTCTCCATTTCTGACTATCAGATGGCATCACCCAGACCTGTGACTCTGGACTCAGCCAGTCCTGTAGCCCCCACCCAGAACTGGACTCAACACACAAGAACTATTTTCCACACCTCTATAATTGCATCCCCAACCACCCAGACCCTAGCCCCCTGCTCACCAAACTATCTCTGGAAAACCTTAGCCTCTAAATTTTTGGAGCGGCTGATTTGAATAATTATAAAATCCAATATCTTGTTTGACCATCTCTATGTGTATTAAACTCTCAGTTGCAATTCTTACATCTTGAGAAATCAGCTGTATCTGGTCAGTGGGCAACAGGAACTCATTGGGCGGTTGTAAGTTCTTCATAATCTGCTACTCAGATCACAAGATCGAATATGATTCCTAACTGGTTAGAGCTTGTTGCTATTTACAGAGATATAATGACGTATGTATAATTAAATTATGATTTTCATAACTTTCCAGTTACTTTATTTTCTTTTCTATGTTTCTTTACTTCTTTTCCTGGAATATGTAGAGACATGATAGATAAATGGGCATTTTGGTTGATTTTAGGGTAGTAATATTAACTTATTTTCAATAGTCCAGACTTTGTAAAAAATGTATTAGTTCTGAATTTTCTTTTTAAAAAGAGAACGTAAAGTTATTATTTTAGCTTATTTTAGAGAATCTATACCTTATAATTATAGTTCAATCAATGAATATGTGATACTTGTGAGAAAAGGGAATTTTTTTTTCTTCTAACTATTCATTTATTGATTCAATAAGTATTTACTGAGTAGCTACTATGGGCAAGGATACAAAGATTAACCAGCCTGTAAGTTCCTCAGGACCAGGGGCCATCTCCCATTTAACTTTAGACAGCTGCACCCCACACCACAGAGTTCCTAGGAAACATTGTGTAGTGGGAGCACAATCTTGTTGGCTGAACGCAGTTAAGCAGTTTGTTCTTTGAGCAAAAGCATTAAGACATGAACATAAAGAACTGATTCAGGGGTAAACGATTTCTTATATTTCTGCTGTTTCTAAGATTTACTTATTCACCATTCTAAATTAATACTCGTAATACAATATGACTTTTGCAATTAAAATAATAACCCAGCAAAGAAAGAACTCATGAAAATGAATGCTGGTGCACCTTACCTTTATGTCGCGGTGAACTATCTGATTGTCATGGAGATATTTTAATCCTTCCAGTATTTGCTTTGTATAAAAGCCAATTGTTTGCTCATTATCTTTTAATGGACCCCATTTGGAACGAAGGAGAGCAGAAAGACTTCCTGTAAAGTAGGGATAAATAGTAAATAAATCCTCATTCAAATGAGCTCTTTAAAGTGTATTAATAATGTAACGGCACTTTAAGCTAATATTCATTGGTTCTTCACAGTGGCCCAGGAGCTGTACTAGATATTGGGCTCAAACATGAATTTGCAAATATCCCTACTCTAAAGATGATTGCTATCAAATATGTCTAAGTAAAAGGCCAATGTCTACTGCTAACTTTAATTCAAGTCATGATGATTGATCCTGAAATGGTTTCCATATTTACGTATTGTCTCTGTGAAATTACATAATTCACTTGTAAAGCTTCTGGAACTTTAAATTATTTAAGCCTTATTATTATTTAAGGAATGTGACTTTGTGGCCTGAGTCATGTAGCATTCGGTTGTAACTTCTGATTCCGCGATTATAGGCTAAATCTCTTCCGCATTTTTGTCCTGTAAATGACTGGGAAAGACTGAATAGTGCCAAAGAAAAGATCCCTTGAGACCATTACCCCTCCTTATGGAATATTAAAATAATATGCCTTGGAATATAAAGCTGTAACCACTTAAATGTAATGACCTTGTGTAGAAGATGTTGCCACCCCGTTAGTCTTCGGCCTATATAAGTGAAACATGAACTTCCTCACTTTGGAACACTGGCCCATTCTTTTGGAGTCTGTGTTTCCTGGGTGGCTATCCTCAAGCTTTGCACCAGAATAAACTCTATACATTAGGATATTTTCTAAATCTCATCATTTATGGTTGACATCTCCTAACAAACTGGAGGTAATGTCACATGTCCAATTTTTCTCTCAGTTTAGACAGATGAAGACCTGTACTCTAGTAAATCCCATTCAAGTTTACTCCCCTTCAAGGCTCTAAAAATTCACACTTTTTAAAGAAAGAAATATCTCTTACCTCCAGGGACCTGCTCCATGAAGATTTTAATGAAACCATTCTCACTGAAAGAGCCCAGATACTGGACAATATTTTTGTGCTTCAGGTGCTTATGCAATGCTATTTCTTCATGCAGGGGCTGAGAGTATCTAAAAGACATGCAATTGTCAATGAGTTAATTATGTAGCCAGACTTTACTGCATAAATTTAAACAATACAAATGGAAAATGTCAGTCAAATATATGTCCATATGTGAAACCAAAATGACCATTTAAGGCCTTTATTTCTCCTAAGGTAAATTCTATGAGGTTGAAGGTGTGGTAGGATTTGAGGGGAAATGTGTCAGGTACTAAGCCAGTTGTATACGTTAATTCATTTCCATGAGAAGGTACTGTTGGTATGCCCATTTTACAGATGAGGAAACTGATTCACAGAGAGGATGACTGACTTGCCCAAGATCCCAAAGCTAGTAAGTGACAGAGCTAAGATTCAAACCCAGGAGAACTGAAATCGTCCACACAGTTTACTCTCCATATTAACATATTAACATTAACATGACTTTCTATTCCACTGGCCTCATCAACACAACTTTATTATTGACTATAAAACTTTACTATCACAATTTACTAATAATCAGGAGACTCCTGCCCAGGAAGATAAAACTTGCAAATAACTTTAATGTACATTCCAGAACTTCCTGAAAGGCCCGTCAATTCTTCAACAGCAAACATAAAACCACTCATAGGTCAAATCTCTTTGAGCCCCTTGCATCAAAATCTTCACCTTACTGTGTCCACTAATTCTATTATATCATGATTTTTACCTAATCCTCATGAAGCCTCCACATTGAAAGTGTGACTTCAAAATTATGTACTTGATATATGTTGCTGATGCAAATTATGAAAGTTATTTTATATTTCTGGAGCAGAACAACACTTTTGATAATTATTGGAAGTACTGTAAAGCTTTATAGACTCTTAAGCACCCTGAATTTAATGTAGCCCTAATGAATTATTTTACTGCTTGCCAAAGAACATAATTTCAGCAAATTGAGTTTTAAAAATCAAATTGGCTTTTATTCATGATTCATGAGCCAGGCAGTATCCAATCCAAATAGGAGGTCCACTGGGCATGGCAGAACAGTGGGTTTTCTTTTGTAAGGTAGCTTCAGCAGGAACAAAAACAACACAGAGCAAAAGCCAAGTGGTTAATGTTAGGTTAATTCAGGTTACTTCCCTTGCAGGGGTTAAAGCAGAGGGGACTTCCTTATCATGCCAGCTTAGGTTGGCTGGGTGCCTTTTGATCAGTCCCTGTGACTCTGTTTTGTTTTTGTTTTTTGAAAATTGGCCTGTTTGATAATTTGGCTATCATCTCTCTCCTGATTTTTCAGAAGGCCAGATCCTACAAGTAAACTGCTTAGTTTTGGTTTGGTGATGTGGAACCCTAGCATGGTTCCACACGCTGGTCTGCTGGAGCCTAGTGCAGGAGCTCAGTCCAAATCTGTAGCCTCAAATTTTACTTAAGAAGCTAAATATTGTAGGGTGTCAGCAACAATAAATATAGACTCAAAGGAATTCCTCTCTCTCTCTCTCTCTCTCTCTCTCTGTCTATATATATATATATAAAATCTAAATCGAATATATATATCTCGTATAATGGAGGCTACCGGTGTGAAATACACTAATAATGCACATTAGTGCAAACCTGATGTCTTACACTTGCTTCAGTCCCACATATAGGAAATCCTTAGATCTTACACTGACAAATCCATTGGTTAATATTGAATAATGCTATTTTCAATAAGCTTTTTAGAGTAAGTGCTATAGCTAAAGCAATTAGTTTATAAAAATTTAAATTCACTTAATTTAAATTAATTTTTATTATCTGTGTAATATTTCCAGAAAGCAGCCAACAGCAATAAAAGCAACAAAATACTTGCATTTTAGATCGATTATTCTTTTTTTCTTTAGAATTGCTTTAGGAACTATGAAGGGCAGGTATTAAAATGAGCACTTTAATAGTATGCCAGTTAGAGATAGCAACAACATTTTGATAATTGCTTGAGTGAGATAACACCAGAAATACCAATATACAGTGTTACCAATAAGATATTTAGGTAATGACTCTCAACTATAAGGGTATTTACAAGTTGCTTCTTCCATGAGGGTTAAAACACTTTGATGTTAGTTCATACCTTCTCTTTTTTTTTTTTTTTTTTTTTTTGGAGATGGAGTTTCACTCTTGTCGTCCAGGCTGGGATGCAATGGCGCGATCTCAGCTTACTGCAACCTCTGCCTCCCAAGTTCAAGCGATTCTCCTGCCTCAGCCTCCCAAGTAGCTGGGATTACAGGCGGCTGCGACCACACCTGGCTAATTTTTGCATTTTTAGTTGAAATGGAGTTTCAACATGTTGGCCAGGCTAGTCTTGAACTCCTGACCACAGGTGATCTGCCCACCTCAGCCTCCCAAAGGGCTGGAATTACAGGCGTGAGTCAACACACCTGGCTCACAACTGCTATTGATATGGATTAGTGGCAAATACTGTGCCTCTGTATTCTACAGAGTTAAGAGATAAAGAAAAATCTGAAACAACCAACTAACTCAGATGATGATGATGATGATGATGATGATTTAAGACAGGGTCTCTCTCTGTCACCCAGGCTGGAATGCAGTGGCACGATTACAGCTCACTGCACCCTCAGCCTCCCAGGCTCAAGCAATGCTCCCATTTCAGCCTCCCGAGTAGCTGTGACTACAGGCGTGCACCACCATGCCCAGCTGATATTTGTATTTTTTGTTTCACCATGTGGCCCAGGCTAATCTCAAACTCCTGAGTTTAAGTGATCTGCCAGCCTTAGCCTCCCAAAGTGCTGAGATTACAGGCATGCACCACCATACTGGGTCCTCAGTTAATTATTAATCATAAGGCTCCCACCTTCTGATTCTCTACTGAAAATCAAAACATCAATGCTTAAACTTAAGATCCTGGAGAAGCAATATCCTTACCTTATTACTTAAACTAAGGAGATAGGTCAAAATTTGCAATAATGGTCAGAATCCAACCTAGCTAAGGACAAGTACTCTTCTCCAATATAGAAAATAGTACAAACACCCAGCATTTTCACTAAGTGTAAGTGCCAAGCATTAAACAAGGATGGAATTAGAATTTGTTCACATCAACAAATTAGTCTTGTCTATGAGAATTATAAGAAAATCATATTTCTTCTCAATTACCTGTAACAAGGAAAGAAGAAATGGACTAGATAATCAGAGATACTTATATATTTGGTTTTGACAAAACTATTAATCCATAGGTATCTCCAGACCCTCCCTTTGAGTCAAATCCCCACTGCTAACCATCTAGACCAGTGGTTGCCAACCTTAACTGGATATTTACATTTCCTAAAGGGCTTCTAATTTCCAGGACCACCCTAGGATTTTTGGAAGTAGAGCTTGAGCATCAGTATTTTTAAAAGCTCCTCTGTTGTCTCTCATATACAGCTGGGTGAAAAATGACATAGAAATAACCAGTCCATGGCAGGGTGCAGTGGTTCACTCCTGTAATCCCAGCACTTTGGGAGGCCAAGGTGGGCAGATCACTTGAGGTCAGGAGTTCAAGACCAGCCTGTCCACATGGTGAAACCCTGTCTCTACTAAAAATATAAAAATTAGCTGGGTGTAGTGGCAGGTGCCTGTAATCCCAGTTACTTGGGAGGCTGAGGCAGAAGAATCATTTGAACTCAGGAGGCAGAGGTTGCAGTGAGCCGAGATTATACCACTGCACCCCAGCCTGGGCGACAGAACGAAACTCCATCTCAAAAATAAAATAAATAAAATAAAATAAAAATAACCAGTTCAGGATATGTAGAATATCAGAAGAGAAAGCCAACCTGAGATTAACAACTAGTTGGGGGTAGATGATGAGAACATACTAAATCTACCTCTTCTCTCTTACAACCACTTTCATTCTCTAACAAAGTGGTTTTCGAACTTGAAGGAACAGAGGAGAAATTGTTTCCGTTGCTCTGATCCTTCTTTACAGATGGGAGTTTAGTGTACAGAAGTTGTATCATGCATTATTCACATCACACTACTTTTGTAATTATCCTTTGTAACTGTAACTGCTATCTTTTTCAACAGAATGGTCCACACCCCTCCAGGTCACATGGATAGAAACAACTTTGGTTGCTGTATCTTCACAATAATAGACTTGTCAGCAATCTCTTTATATTGTTAATAAGAAGATGCCCTGCACCAGCTGTTCAAGGTAAGGGCTTGTCATGCGCAAATCACATATACCAACTGCATTGTTACAGAACAGGAGCTGAAACACCTTGTTGGTATTGGTGTGCTTTGTGTGTGTATAGCAGCATTTGAATAAACTTAAACTACAGAATGATTTTAAAAGTGAGTTTCTTCCAAGTGTCCACCTAAATCCATCAGGAGGGGAAAAGAGAGGAGCTGTGGCTAAAGGTTAGTGAATTTGGCTGCAGCAATTTGATAGCGATGACCTCGTTAAATTTCATATTGCTTCAAATCTATACTATCTATATATATGATCCTTAAGAACCTGTAGGACTAAAAGAAAAATTTCAAGATGACAACTTTATATATATTACCTAGGTATTTAATGAATAATTTCTACTGCTGTTTCATAAGAATCCGTAATCATGTCTCATGAATTAACTAAGAGGAAATGCTGGAACAACACCAAACAAATATGAAATTGAATGAAACTACACAAGCGGCAGGCAGCAACAGCTGTTTGCTTACCTAATATCTATTCCTCCCTCTTTCTATGATTTTGTTTGGAGAAACAAATGGCTGGCTAAAAAGCCGGAGTTCCTAGTTCCTTGTAGGTAGGGGTAGGCATTTTGGGCGAGTGCAACAGAGGGGAAAGTATACTGGGCAGTTCTGGGAAGCTTTGTTTTCCTTTTCCTTCTGGGATGACATACGGAGCCTGGAGGCAGCGTGAAAGTCACGCACTAAGGATAAAGAGCTGGGATCGGGCACAGTGCTTGCATGGGAGGGGGTGTCTTTTTCAGTTTGGGGTAGTCAGAGAAGACCTCTCTGAGGGCTTGACATTTGAATTAAAGCTTAAATGATGAAAATGAGGCAATCCTGCGAAGGTCTGGGTTGATCTTGGTATGCCCGATAGAGAGACACCAGTGTGGCTGGAGTGGAGGTGAGGCCACAGAGGAAGCAGATCGCCTGTGGCCTTGTGATTCAAAGTAAGGGTTCTGGGTTTCATGCTAGTTGCAATAAGAATCCACTGAAGAGTTTTAGGCAGTAGTGACATGATGTGATTTTTAAAAATAGATGTTATTTTTTAGAGCAGTTTGTAAGTTCACAGAAAAATTTGAGAGGGAGGTACAGAGATTTCCCACACACTCCTGGTTCCCAAACATGCACAGTCTCCCCCATTATCAACATTCCCCACCAGAGTAGTCCATTTGTTACAACTGATGGACCTTCACTGACACATCATTATCACTGCATGATTTGATTTTAACTTCAGAAAGACCTCTGTGACTCCTCAAAGAAGGATGGACTAGGAGTGGAGGAAAGAATGAAAGCAGAGACCAATTATGAGGTGACTGCAGAGACTAGAAGGGAGTCCGGGCGAGAGGCCTGAAGGCTTAGATTAGAGGTGCAGCTGTGGTGATCGGAAAGAGTAGAGAGATTCAGAATATATTGCAGAGGCTGATACAACAAACAGTACGACCTACTGATGGAGTAGATGTGGAGTGCAAGAGAAAGAGAGGAATCCAAATGAATCCTGGAGGTTAGCCTGAGCAGCTGGATGGATGGGGAGACAGTAACTGATGACACAAGGAGTACTTTAGGGAGAGTACATTTGGGAATAAAAATCGGGTTTACGGCCGGGCGCAGCAGCTCACGCCTGTAATCCCAGCACTTTGGGAGGCTGAGGTGGGCAGATCACTTGAGGGCAGGAGTTCGAGACCAGCCTGGCCAACATAGTGAAACTCCATCTCTACTAAAAACACAAAAATTAGCTGGGCATGGTGGCGCAGGCCTGTAATCCCAGCTACTTGGGAGACTGAAGCATGAGAATTGCTTGAACTCGGGAGGTGGAGGTTGCAGTGAGCTGAGATGGGGCCACCGCACTCCAGCCTGAATGACACAGTGAGTCTCTGTCTTAAAAAAATAAGTAAATAAAAATAAAATCCGGGTTCGCGACTGGGTAATATACTGACTACCTAGGTATATTTGATGGATTCATTTGTACTCCAAACCCAAGCAACACACAATATTGTTTTGTAACAAACCTGCACATGTACCCCGATTCTAAAATAAAAGTTAAAAAAGGAAAAAAATCCAGGTTCAGTTTTGGTCATGTTAACCTTGAGATGCCTTTGAGATCTGTAATTGAAGATGTGGGGTAGACAGGTAACCTGGGGAGCTCAGGGGTGGGTCCTTCCTAAGGAAGGCTGGTCACGTGGCCTATGACCACAGCCACAGAACGTGGACTGAAGGGCAGCCAGAATCAGCCCATGATGTAGCCCAGCATTAAAGCCTGGCCAAATATGGATAATAATAACCATCTATTAAATAATCAAATTCTCTCTCTTTCAGACTTTGAATATACAACACACACAACTGTGTATCATACACTACAACTGTGTTTCACTAATTATAGGAGCACTGCCTTACAGAGAGATGTAAGGGAAGCCCTAAGGCAGCAGAAATCATAAGGTTGAGAGAAGACAGAATTATTAGTTGGAGAAATAAACCATAAGGCAGAGCACAAGAGCAGTGAGCAACAGATAATCCTATCACCAGAGTGCTTCAGTTTCCTGAACAACATTTTTGTTTCTAAAAAAGATTCCATCTTTCACAAGGCCTCACTACGTGAGGTTCAACTCATTTCTTCAAGTATAGGTTGGTGCAAAAATTTGCCATTACTTTTAATGGCAAAAATGTATATATTATACATTTTGTAGTTGTCACACAGTTCTTGGATATTGTCCCAGTTTTTTTGTCTTTTTTCTTTTTGCTTTTTTAATTTTGAAAGTTTCTACTGATATATTCCCAAACTCAGAGATTCTTTAACTGTGTCCAGTCTACTAACACGCCATCAAAGCCATTCTTCACTTCTATTACTGTTTTTGATCTCCAGCATTTTTGAAAATTATTTCTAGGATTTCCATCTCTGAGCTTACATTACCATCTGCTCCTGCACAATCTCCACATTTCCATGAGAGCCCTAAGCGTGTGAATATGATTCACAATCTGATAACTCTAATATCCCGCCATATCTGGTTCAGGTTCTAACACTTGCTATGTTGCTTAAACTGTGTTTTTTGTCTTTCAGTATGCCTTACAGTTTTCTATAGAAAGGTGGACATGATGTCCCCGGTGAAAGTACTGCAGTAAATAGGCCTTTAGTGGTATGGTGGGAAGCAGTCAGGCAGGAGAAGAGTTCTATAGGTCTATGATTAGGTCTCAGTCTTTCAGTGAGTCTGTGCCCCTGGGCTGTGAATTTTACAAGTGCTTCAAAGTGCTTCTTAGCTTTAGCCCCCTTAGATGAGACAGGACAGCTAGAGTTGGGCTACATTTGGTACTCCCCTTCCCCCAGTTTGGTGAGGCTCTGGTAAAATAGAGTCTCTTGTGGACAGACCTTGTTAAGAACAGAATGCTCTAGCGTATTTTAAAATGGTGACTTTTCCTTTCTTGCTGCCAGAAGCACAATGGGATTTCTCTCATTTCAGGTCTCTGTGAGGACCTGGTAAAGCTCCAAAACTCATGAAAGTGTGACCCTCACCCCCAGCCCCCAGTGACTGGGTCCCGCTGGAGTTCTTCACTCAGACTTCACAGTAGGCCTCTAGAGATTTGTTAGTTACAGTTCAGTTTTCCTACCCCCGCACTGGTTCCCACAGAGGTTTCTGATCATGGATTTCTGCTCAGTAAGTTATGAGTCTCTCACTTCGCCAGTCTCTCCAATTTCAGGGGCAGCTGCCTGCCTTGCAACTTCACTGACAAATCCAAGAAGAGCCGTTGATTTCAGTCTGTTCAGCTTTCCACTTGTTAAGATAGAATGACAATTTCCAAGCTCCTCACATGCCCGATTGGAACTTAGAACTGGTTCCAACCTAAACCATTTCTGATAGTGCTTATTCCCCATCTATTCATATAATACATCCACCTTTATCCGAGACAACCTGAGCCCAGCACACATAGGGCCATTCTCTTTTCTAGTCTCTGAAAGCCCCGTTCTTCCCCACCAGTCTGGAACTTCAAACACTGAATGATGCAGCAGCTAAACCTCAGAAGGAGCTAATTGACTCAATGTCAGAGTTTCATTCATTAGAATCTCATCAATATTTTCTAAAATACTATGAACAACCCAAAGTACTATAGAACAGCTTTTAGTAGCCACAATTACTGTACCTGCTGTCTCTCTCTGGGATTTCCTTAATAGCAATTCTGACTTGGTTGCTCAAGTCCCGACCTGCGTAGACTATCCCGTAAGTGCCTTTTCCTAAAACGACTCTGTCACCATTTTCATCATATTCATAGTCATACTACAAAAGGAAAAACGGGGAGAAAAGATTGAAATGTTAGTTCATTCTACATTTCAAACATCTATTTTTTTCCAAGAGCATTATTCCTTATCTTATCAGATGGCATTAACAGGCCAAAGTTCTAAGAAGTGCTTCAAGAATGAACAAATAAATGCTCCCAACATAAAGCAGATATTGTGTTTATGTTTTCACAACTGTTACAAATACAGTGGGGATTACATAGTTAACTTCATAGAAGTGCTTCTCCAAAAGCCGTGTGGATTCTTTTACCCACTCAGTCCTGTTTTTCATTGATTCTGGAGATCAATGAAACAGTGCATAACTAGCATGAACATCTATCAATGTCTATCACATCTAATAAATCATCCTTTTGTTATTCACTTTTGATGCTGTCAAAGCATTTCATACTGCCAGGGGAATAAAACCACTGAAAGGCTTTGGGTAAGAAGAAAATTTTGACATCTTACCAGCTGCCGATGATAAAGTCAGGATTATTTTACTTCACCCCAACCCCCACTCCCCAAGACCCAGAAACATTTTTTTTTAATGAAAAATAGAGGAAAATGTTTATCTCTGATGTAGAAAGGAAATATCTATAGCTCTAAACTGCAAACTGTCAAGTGTGTCAGCCAAATATGGAAAACTGGATCTACAGAAAGGATTTAGTAAAGACCTCCTCAGATCTGGAGGCATCACCCCAAAGCCACATCCTTTGTGTTGGACTGAACTAAAGGATTTAGGGCCATCACATGATCAAGGCATGTCCTGGAAGAAACCCAGCACAAAACTACAGGCCCCCGGGAAAGAACATTAGAACAAGCTTTTCACATAGTCTACATTTTGCTGGAGTTTAAAGCTGGCAGTCCATAGTTAGATTCAACGCACAGCAGGGTCTGAGTTGGCCATTAAAAAAATTATTTCTGGCCAGGTGCGATGGCTCATGCCTGTCATTCTAGCACTTTGGGAGGCTGAGGCAGGTGCATCGCCTGAGGTCAGGAGTTTGAGACCACCCTAGACAACATGGCAAAACCCCGTCTCTACTGAAAATACAAAAATTAGCCGGGTGCGATGCTGTATGCCTGTAATCCCAACTCCTCAGGAGGCTGAGGCAGGAGAATTGGTTGAACCTGGGAGATGGAGGTTGCAGTGAGCTGAGATGGCGACACTGCACTCCAGCCTGGGCAACAGAGCGAGACTCCATCTCAAAGGAAAAAAAAAATGATTTCTAACATGTATAAGTCAACAAACTTAACGTTAATACTGATGAGTAATCTAAGAAGAGGGCAATGATCATGAGTTTTTATGCTCTTTAACAACATAGCCTTGAAATATATAAAGCAGAGTTGATACAATTTCAGAGAAAAATACGCAAATATCAACCACAATAGATTTTAACAGAACTCTTTTAGAAAGGAATATATCTGGCACACAGATTTTAAAATAGAGAATCTAATGGCACAATAAACAAGTCTGATATAACATCTACAGAGAAAGCTCTGCACCCAGATACAGATTCCTTTCATGCATATATGAAAAATATATAATTGATCACATATTAGACAACAGAGAAAAATTTCAACAAATTCCAAAGAACTGATATCATAAAGACCATGATCTCTGAGCACAGAATACTAAAAATAAGACAGCCAAAAGTATATTTTACTTTACTTTAAAATAACCAATGGGTTAAAAAGGAAATGACCATGGAAATTACACAATCATTTTTTATATGAGAAGAAAAGCATTATTTATCAAATTCCATAGATACGGAGTTAGGTAGATGAAAAATGTCATGATATTAAAAAAATCCATTGGAAAATAAAAATTTAACATGAATAAATTTAATGGTCAAGTCAAGGAAACAGAAAAAGAATAACATATTGCTACCAACACAGTAGAAGAGAGGCTCTGGATTTGGCAAGATGGTAGACCAGATACCTGAGAAGCTTCCTGCTAAAAACACATAGGTAAAATAAAACAGACATACTTTTAAATGTCTAGCTGGGCTTACTAAAGAGTAAAGGTGATTGCAGACGCTAGAAATGAAGAGGAAAGGAATACTAGCAGGTAATCACAAGAACTCCTGAAGCCCAAAAGGTAGGGATGAAGGCAAGATTTTCAGTTTCATTAATCTAGGGCAGGAGTTCATGCTCGTTTTTTGGTAAAAGGTCAGGTAGTGAATGTTTTAGCTTTGAGAGCCATATAGTCTTTGTAGCAACTACTCAATCCTGCCATTGTGATGTGAAAGCAGCCCAGCTGATACATAAACAAATGGACATGCTTATGTTCCAATAAGGCTTTATTTACCAACATTAACAGTGAGCTGGACTTGATCCTAGGGCTATTGTTTGCTGATCTCTCATGTGGGGCTTGGGTTTTAATGCCCAGGAGGGGATAGGAAGTATGGCCTAGTGCCTATGCCAGGCAAACAGCAGAAACACACAAAACCAGGCCCTTGATGAAAGGGTAGATTAGAAAAGTCAGCCCACTACACTGTGAAACCAAAAGAAAGCTGGTTTGTCTCAAGACTGAGCTCTGGAGGAGCAAAAATAGGTCTTCTCTAAACACGTTCAACCATAGCTGATCCTGGCTGTTTGAACTTCAAATTAACACTTATTGTAATACTCATAATTGCTCTTGAGCCTGGGATATCCCTGGAGTGCCTGGCAGAAACAAAGGAAAAACATTTTAATGGTAGACCCCTTGAAGTTTGCTATGCTGAATTCTTACTGATAATGCACCACTAAAGTTGAATTCACAATCCAAAAAATATAAATTATGTAAGGAAACAATTCAACATCAGTGAAAACATATATGACAAATCCCAATCCTCAAGACTTCATTAAGTCAGAAATGATAGAATATAGTTATAAAATATGTACGTTTAACATAAAGATATAAAATATTTAAAAATGAGAAGATGAGATATTCTAAAAAAGGCCAGACTTGAAAGATAATTGAATACAACTTCCAGAAATTCAGCCCTAAATAGGAAAAATAAAAACAAATTCACTCAGATATGATATAGGGCAACTACAAAATACGAAAGATCATAAAAGGGCACATTACCTACAAAGGGAGCTCATCAGATCACTCTGCAAACTCTTGGGTACACATGCATGACTCGAGAGGATGGGGCTGGGGTGGAGCATGTTCCTAACAGCTCCAGGTTATTTGTTTCCAACAGGTTTCCAAGCCCTTATAGAAGGAGGTCAGGTGGTGTCTTCTGGGGAAAATTATGCCTAATACAATGCTAGGGCTGGAGTGAGCACTGGCCTCCTTAGCATGAACCCTTCTCTGGCTCAGGACAGAGGCCAAACTCTGGAAGGGAGATGACTACTTACCCATTGCCAAGTATCCAGTGGCACATTAAAGAATGGCCCTGTTCTGGCTGCCTAACGTAAAGCTGAAGACTGTCTTGGTCCAGGGCAGATGATCAGGTAGGTGGTCAGAGTGAAGGAACCGGCAGCAGGGATCATTTAGCAACATGCCCTAACTCAGAGTTAAAACTGGGCTCCTGTGAGGAGGCAGGAAGCATAATCCAAACAATGCCACCTGAAGGAGCCCAAGTCTCCACACCCAATTCCTGTGGTCTAGACTTTTGCAATGCTGTGCCTGCCACGCCGGAATTCTACCAGTGGGACCCAGTCAGCAGGAGGTAGGGCAGGGACCATCACTAAAGAAGCTCAACTTTGACAATGTGCCCTCTCAAAGGATTAGAAACCTATACACTGAATCTAGTACCACCACCATTTTACACTACAATGCTTTATAATTTTAAAGGGAAAAAAAAAACAACTTTCGATAACCCACCTCACTTGACTATCATAATATCATAGTAGGTTTCTGATTACTTTCAATTTACAAATGATCAGAATTTTTTTTTTTCAGTGAAAATATATCAGAGTTGTGATTTGAAACCAGCTTGTAAGATTCCAGATTTTGTATCCTTTCCACTACCTATGCGCTAGGGAAACCCTATCATAGAATAAGAGCTTACAGGGTAATGATCACTACTTGTTTCCAAACACCAGTATTATAAAGATATTACAGTATATTGTTAATATAGATTGAACATCCATTTGCTTTTTCAAGCAGACATCTGGTAGCCACTGTCCTCTTAGAATTTTGCTTTTTTCCTTCTGTTACTCCATATTTCAAATTTATTGTCAACTGTTCTCAGATTTTTCTTCTTAAAATCTCACAAATCCATTTTACTCCTTATTCTCACTGCGATTGCCTCAGAATCTCTGTAGAAGCAGCACAGAAGCACTTCTCTGCAAAACAAAATTCAGAGGCTTTTCTCCTCCGTGTGGCTCCATTCCCCAATTTATTCTGCACTAAGTTGACAGTGAACTTTCCAAAGTCCAAAGTTCCACGTGAGCTTTCCATGTCAGTGCCACTGCATCTATTTTATTGGCAGCTTGTTACTTTCCGGATGAAATCCAAACTCCTTAGCACAGCATAAATGCCTGCTACGGTCTGAATGTTTGCGTACCCCCCTCTCCAGCACCCTTAAAATCTGTATGTTGAAACCGATTCTCAATGTATTAAGAGTTAGGCCCTTTAGAAGGTGATTAGGTCATGAGGCTAGAGCCCACATGAACGGGATTAGTCCCCTTATAAAAGAGGCTTGAGGGAGCCCGGTTGAGCCTTCAGCCATGTGAGCACCCACAGAAGGTATCATCTAGAATAAGTAGGCTCTCACCAGACACTGAATCTGCTGGTGCCTTGATCTTGGACTTCTCAGCCTCTGGAACGGTGAGCAATGCATTTCTGTTGGGTATAAATTACCCAGTCTAAGGCATTATGTTATAGCAGCCTGGATGGACTAAGACAATGCCCTTCAAGATCTTAGGGCTGCCTCTGTCATCCTCGTCTGGACACTGAGCTCTTTGAGAATTGGGACTTCATCCGTAATTACTCTATCCCCAGTTTTAGCATGTCGCTTGTAGTAGATGCTTAGTAATTACTTGTTTAATTAATTAATCAAGTTATAG